GATGTATGAAATGTAAATGCCAGGTTATGATGTCTATTTTTTAAGAAGAAAGTTTGAGAAGCTTATTAACAGTTTCAAAAATCATTTTCTTTAAGAAACACAGCAGTTTTTCTTCATAATAAAAAAATCTATGTATTCTGGGAACCAGCAGTTAGCGTAATGGCTATGTCGCTGGACTCCCTCGTAGTCGACCGCTGTTCGCGTCCCGGACCCGGTGGCTTAAAACTCATGCCGGGTGTGTGTGCATGCGTGCCCAAGATCCAGAGAGGAGAATGGAGGAGAAGGGATTGTGGCATGACCATCCACCCTGCGGGGTGATTTCTCGCTTTCTGTCTCTCTCTGTCTGTCTGGCAAGTGCACACGCCCTATAGTGAAAATCTCTCCAAAAAAAAAAAAAAATCAATGTATTCTAAAGAAAATTTAAAAATTACTTACAAATATATTTTGCTCCACTAATATTAGAACATTTAGAGTATGTTATTTTAAAAGTAGCTCTCACTTAAAGTCATTTTAAGTATAATTGAATAAACTTACTTTAAAAAAAAGAACATTTCTCAAATAAAAAAGATTTCTCATTTTAACTAAAATTTAGTAAAAAAGAATCCAACCAGGAAAGCAAAACACCTACTTAAAGACATTACATTTACTGTTCTGAGGATTTTTACTGATTTTTGGTATTCTGTGCCTGTGGGTTTTCTCTTTCCACAACTACTGCTACCATGGCAACACCAACAACACACTGCCATGCACTGTGCCCTTGCTCTGTGCTTGACATGGCACCAAGCAAGAGGCAGGTGGCATCTCATTTGCCATTCATGTATGCAATGAAAAGGAATGAACAAATAATAGGTGTCATTAAAACATAGGTAGAAGTTTATAGGAGAGATGTATGTCTGGAAATCCTTGCAGCATAGTCTGAATGTCTAATGTATGATATAAGATCTGCTCTTTGCCTGTTATTAGATGAAGGCAGGGTAAGAGCTGTTGCCTGGATCAACTCATTTGAATGTTAACATGACTTTTACACATATGATGGTGCATAGAAAACTTTAGAAAAATAAGATGTATTAGTATTCATCTATTATAGTCAGAAAGGTTTTTATTGTTGTTGTTCTTGATTTTTTTTTCATGCCTAAAGAGACCTAAATAATAGTTGTGATTAGTTTGTAATGTGCAGACAATATACCCACAATGGAAGAAGAGCTCCAGGGAGATGAAATGTATGAGTTCGAGTTCCATTACTATGACATAGGTCTTTTATTAAAACTCTTTTGTATAATGTTTTAGAACAGAATTTTTTTTTTTATGTAGTACTGATTAAAGTGAAAACATAGCAGTAGAAAAAACTGGGGAAAGCCCAAGAAAAGGTTGACAAGAGAAAAACCCTTATATCACAAAGCCAGGACTTTTGACTGCCAAGATCAGCCTGAGAAAGAGGTCAATTTTATCTTTGAGACTCTTTCTAGTCAGCTGTGATCTCAGTCTAACAGCAGAGAGGAATGACTGGTAAATTAATCCCAGCTCTCAAATGAAATGGCCATCTCAGGGGACCTGCTTTTATAAGAAAAAGAAGCCCAGCAGCAAGCACATACTCTGGAGGAGGATAAAGGTTTAAAGACAGCAAAAATTATGAGCAGGAGGGGAGTCTCGAATCCAAAAGGAGGTTGGAAAAGCTATTCCAAACCAATCCATTGCATATAACCTTGTATAAAAGGCATAGTGAAAGAGCAGTATGCCCAGGGGCATAGAAACCTGATTTTTCACTGGGGTTTTTTTATTAGCCAAGTATGGACAAGTTGAATTTGGGTGAGTCTGATCTTCTTTCTAGTTCTCTCAATTAAAGAAATACTTAGTAGGCTGGTGTGCTGTTTAACATCAGGTTATGTGTCAGAGAAGGTGTTTCTCAGTGGGTGGGACAGGGACTAATGCATACAATTTGCTAGGTCCCACTCTACAACCAGCAAATAGGAATTTCTGGAGGTGGGTAATTCCTGGGTAATTTTTAGGCACATGACAATCTGAAAATCAGTTTTTAACTAGTGAATAGAAAGACAAGTGAGATATACTTTGTACCTTTGAAAATACCCTGATTTAATTTTCTTTTCTTTAAAAAAGCCCTTCATATTAGGCGATTTTTAAAAGCTTTATGATACTCATTTAGCTTATTTTTTTTCTGTCAGAATTAACATTTTACAAGGTGCTCTCACTTAATAAGTATAATTTTGATGATATGATCTAGTTCTACTTAGCCATTTTTTGAACTACAAACCACATGGTTTCTTAGTTTCATATTCTTATTTGGAAAGAATTAAAAAAAAAAAAAAATAGACAACCAGC